CAACCTTCCTTCCAAGGAGTGGCTGGTGGGTTTGAACCGCCAGCCTTCTGGTTAGCAGTCAAGTGCCTTAGGCACTATGCTACCAGAGCTCCTCCGTAAAGCCTAGTATATTAAAAATTTGAGGTACACACAATGGCTCAAGATAACAGTTGGGCACCAAAACATTATCATCATTATTGTGTTACTATGTTAAAAATGTCTTCATGCATCTGGAGGTGTTTCTTTAATATTTTATGCATAGAAAGGTACACTATATAATACATATATATACATATATAGTATTATATACATACTATATAATAAGACAGACATTTGACTAACTGGTGCCAGATATGAATCGTAGCTAACTGTTCTGACTTACATAGAAATTTGACCTGAAGACAGACTTAGGAGTGGAACTAGTTTGTAATCCAGGGCCCACCTTATAGACAAAGCTGGGACAAGTGAGGGGAGGAGTCTGGGGACCACTGTACTGATAGAGCCGGGACAAGTGAGGTGGGGGAATCTAGGGACCATTGCACAGACAGACCCGGGACAACGAGGGAGTTGGGGATCTGGGGACTGCTGTATGGACAGAGCCGAGACAAGTGAGGTGGGGGAGTCTAGGGACCACTGTACTGATAGAGCCAGGACAAGTGAGGTGGGAGCGCAAAGGCAGGCCTGCCATGCAGCCTGAACTTCCTCCTGACCTCGGGAGCAGTCGGCACCGAGGAGCTCAGGGAAGCCTCCAATTTCACGGATCACGAGTCCTCCGGTCGGAGGGTCTCCTGCAGTGTTGAGTTTATAGCCCTGTGTACAACCCCCTGTGAGGACCCATCCTGGGGGGAAGGGTGCTCTTTAACACAGAGCAGGGCCTGGGAACTTCCCCTCAACATGACAAGGAATGGGTCATAGTACCCTCCTGCCCAGAAAGCACCTGGAAGGTGGTGACATCCCATCAGTGATTAGCAGTCAGGGCACCATGGCCACTGAGCAGCTTCTGAGTGGGCCCTGGCCCTGACCCACAGTTCCTGGCCTGTTCATACCATCTTCGCACTGAGTCAAGCATCCTCTGGGAATCGGGAGCACCTAGACAAGGAGGAATTGCAGGCCACTGTGTGTCAGTGGACGATGACCTAATGGCACGTCCACCTCCAGCTGAAAGTGGGTCATTCATTCCACATCCCAGAGCCTGCGAAGGTCAAGGAAATGGGCTTCAAGCCAAAGCTGTATTCAAACCCAGCTGACCACTTTGGTCTCAACCTTGGCCAAGCTACTATGAAATTAGGATGTTGTTGTCTGCCCCTTGGACCTGTTATGGGAATTGTGCTGGAAGTTTTATACAAGGGGCTTAACAAGCATCTAGCAAATGATAAGCCTTCAGTGAGTAGGTGGAGGTACACTTGGTGTCATTACTGTGTTTCCCATGTTCATTGGAGGTCTGGTGTCTATGGCTGAAACCCCAGGTAGACAACAAGCCCCTGCAGTCTCGACACTGGTGATGAGGTTCTCCACCTGCAGCAGCAAAAGCCCTTCTTTGCCAGCGGGAGCCACGCTGTGGTCGTCGCCGTGTCGTTGGCTCCGCCTCACATGCAGCACAATGGAACGTCAGCCGGTCTTGCATTGTCTGCACAGCTGACGGTGGCGCTCGGGCGCAGGCTGGGGCTCATCTCCCTGCACTGATCAGGGTGCCCTCGTGGCCCGTGAGGCTCCCACGGGCTGATGTTCTGAGCCGACCGGCAGGCCTTTCTTCCTAGTCTCTCTTAGTCTGTGAGCTCTGCTGACGCCTGCCCTCCAGGGCTGCCCCTGCAGGCGTTTCAAACAGCAGTGCGTCCAGCATCACGGCCACATGCAAGCCACCGTGTGCGGCACATGGACGGACGGGGCTGGGGTTGCAGCCATACTGATCCTTATGCAACCACATTTTAAAACACCTGATTTTCTGAGTTTCCAGGGCAGGAGGAGAGCTGTTGAGGCTGGCACTGTCACCTTAGATGTGGCAGTGACACCAGCACTGAGAGGAGACCCCTTTAAGGGTAACATGGAGTCACTGTGCTCCATGCCCTGTCTTGCTCAGAGACCAGAGCCCAACACATAGTAGGTGCTCAGCAAGGCTTCTTGGCCACTAACTACTGAGGCAATGACCACGAGGTGGTGGACAGAACCAGGGACAAATGCTGCAGTATCCCTGCGTGCTAACACCACTCAGAGCATCCACAAGCCCTTGTCAGCAACGTGTGCATTTTCTGTACCCACATCTCATGGGGGCCCTGTTGGGGGGTATGAAGGGCAGGAAGAATCCAAAGCTAGACAGTGTGAGCACTGTGAGCCAGATTCCTACTAGGGAGCCAGGTGAGAGCCAGGCTCATGGAGCCCAGGGCCTGGCAGACCTCTGCAGGGAGGACGCAGGGAAGTGCTGTCTTCTTGGCCTCCTTTGTCTTTGGGCGAGCAGCCATCCATGGACAGTGGCCATGATGCCACAGGTAGGCCCAGTGGGAGGGTGGGGAAAAGGTTGGGAAGGTGGGGGAGAGGGTGGGAGGCTGAGGCTGGGCTGCCCAGGGAGTTTATTTTGCTGCTAATTTGCACACATTTGTTTAATCTATCACTGAGTGTCATTTGTCAAGCTGGATGGCCTGGGAAGGAGAATGAAGGAACTTTCCAGAGGCCCCCTGAGAGGAAGAGAGGGCAGGGAGTGCCCTAGGCACTGCATTGGGAAGTCTGAAGTGAACCAGGGACAGAGGTTCATAGTGATGGGACAAGGGCCCCTTCAGGACAGCCCGTCTGCCCAGGGTGCATCCAGGCCCTCCTGCCATTGACATCCTGATCACCACTGTCACTGTCCTGGCCAGAGTGTCGTCTGGGCAGTTAGCACAGTGGGACAATGCATTGTATCTACGCAAGGGCAAGCCTTTGGTGGTTCCACTAGTTGGAGTGTAAGGGAGCTTTTGCACATACCTATGTGGCATTCTAATAAGTCCAGGTCTTGCTCCATGCTTTGCTGCAGGTCAGTGTTATTTGGACGGTTGTCCTTAGTGTTCCATGCCATCCTTCATGCACCCCCACCCCAGGAACACATGGCCCTGGTGTCCAGCTTTACTTTCTTTTCCATGGCTTGAGGCACAGGACACTTGTGAAATCACCAAGTCCAGAGCCCTGCTGCCTGGAATGGCATAGTCCCAGTTGTCGGTGGCTGTCTTCCTGGTCTGCTCTGACAACTTTACCTACTCACTATTAGAAGCTCATTCCAAACACTCACATTTGCTCTCATGGAAGCAATTCTTTCCTGTTTATACTCATACACCATCCTGTTTACACTCATATATCAATGTCATATGCAATTTGTTAATCCAGAAATTATTTAGCACCTCCTCTGTGACTGACACCAAAAAAAAAAAAAAAAAAAACCCTCCAAACTCACTGCCATCCAGTCAATTCTAACTCATGGCAATGCCCACTGGGTTACTGAGGTTGTGAATCTTTATGGAAGAAATCTCAAGAGTAGCTGGTGGGATTGAAACACTAACTTTCTGGTTATCAGCCAAATGCCTTATCTACTATGCCATCATAGTGTAACTAACACATAAGGGTTAATTGAACTATGTAATTACAACAGGCCTAGGCTGGTTTGGAACATGCGTGCATGGCTCTTGGTAAGCAGACACCTCAGCTGGTGGAGTAGATGCACCTGGTGCTCTGGAAGGAGGCTGATGGGTGGGTGAAGAGGTGTCCCAGAGTGCCAAAGGCACCAGGCCTTAGGGGATTACAGGGGAGAATGCAAGAATGGAGAGAAGTGGTTAAGTGGATGCCATTTAATAAAACTCTACATCCTCACCATCATCATCACCATCACCATCATTGCTATCATCATCATCACCAACACCATCATCATCAACATTGTTACCACAATTGTCACTACCAACATCATCACCATCACCACCATCATCATCACTGTTATCATCACCATCATCACTACCACCACCACTGTCTCCACCATCATATCACCACCATTACCACCACCACCATCACCATCATCACCACCACCACTATTGTCACCACCATTGTCACTACTATCATCATCACCACCATCATCATCATCACTGTTATCATTATCATTACCACCAACACCACCATCACCACTACCATCACCACTACCATAGTCACCACCACCACCATAATCATCACTACTATACCTCCCTTATCACCACGATAAGGGAGAAAGAACTTCTCATACAGATGGTGCAGGGGACCTGAGAAGTTCCTGGGAAGTGAAGTCTGACATCAGTCTGGTGAATCTTGGGGCCCAGTAGGAGTTATCAATATTGAGTAGGAGCAGTGGGGAAGGACGTTCAACACAGAGAGGAAACTTGGCTGACAAAGACACAGACACAACATCTATGCATCACTGGGGACAAGAATATTGGGGTTGATGGGGTATAAAGTGAGGGTTGGGTGAAAGCTGGGTGGTTGTCAGAGGCCTGAGGTGCAGGGTCTCATGCGCCTGGGAATGAGGTTGCACTTGATGCTCTACACCCTGAGGAGTCTTCCCACTTGCCCCTTAGGCAGCAGCTCCCAGGATTCCTGTGCACATGTTGAAAGACACTGGTTACACAGAAGGGCAAAGAGGAAAACAGTGACACTAAGCCCTATCCACTGTCCCTTGGTCTTGGAATGGAGCCTTTGCTGTTGGAGAGATGGTCTCAGAGCCTGGAGCCACAGAAGTCCAGGTGGCCCATGTTCTGAAGCAGGGTATGGGCTGGTTGGCCTGGAACCTGACCATGGTGGTCAGCACACCCAAATGTCTCAGCCTGAGAACTAACTAGACATCCCCCATGCCACTGATGACCAGCTTCCTATCTCAGCATCGCTCTTCAATGATGATTAACAAATGCTTATCAAGAGTGGTTAATAGCAGCAACGTGCGCTGGAAACTCCCAGGCTTCCCAAGTCCACCACGCCACGTGCTTTCTCAACGTTCTCCTGGCAAACCAGAGTGTTAATAAGTAACACTGCCAAGGAATGGGCTTCATCACTAACTCACCAGCCAGCTGGGCTTTGGGCATGAGTGAGCCAGGCGTCAGGTTCCATGCAACAGGAGCGCAATTCCCACACAGGGCTCTTTTGAGGGAGTTCTTGTTCCCCACGCTTGGTTGCTTGGTGGAAACATGGCAGAAGTGGGAGGAAGAGGAGGAGGGAGAGGCAGACTCTGAATTCCCTCTCCCGTGAATTGCCAGGCTGGATTTCTTCCCATCTTCCTGGAGCAAAAGTTTCCCCAATCTAGAAGTCTGTATCCACAAACATGGCTAATCCTGGAGACATACTAAAAGGTCTCTGGGTCATACAAATGGTGTGCACTTGACTATTAATGCAGGAGAGTGGGGTCATTTCCGGTTCTTAGGATGATAGGAGGAGGTCTGATGGTATAGTGGTTAAGGTATTTGGCTGCTAGCCCAAAGGTCGGTGGCTCAAACCTTCTAGCTGCTCCACAGGAGAAACATGAGGCAGTCTGCTTCTATAAAGATTGACCTCCTTGGCACCCCATGGGGGTCGTTATGAGTCAGAATTGATTCGATGGCAGTGAGTTTGGGTTTTTATTTTTTAGGGTGACAGGATTGCATTGTATGGATTTAAGTCTGCATGACCTTTTGTGGCAAGGTGCTGGCACAGCTCCCAACACAGCCGGACCCATTCGGGTTTGGATCCAAAGGGGCCCATGGAACCTGGAGAGGGTGCTCTGTATGTGGCAGTGACAGTGAAAAGCAGTTCTGTCTGCGCAGCAGTGGGAAGCCACAGCCGTGCTGTGAGGCTGGGAAGAGTTTTCGGTTTTGCTTTATGGGTGACGAAAGGTATCCCAGAAAGGCACCTAGGAGGAAAGGGCTCCTAGTGGTCTTTGACAGATCAGCCCTGGAGACTCTGCGAACATGGGGCTGCCCCGACACAGGTAGGGGTGTTGTGGGCTAAGTTCACGTGTGAGCCGGTGCACGTGTCAGCACATGAGGGGGTGGGGATCTGATCGTGGATGCAGGCTGCACACAGGCCCCCACACCCTCCTCCAACAAGACAGTGTGGTCTTCTGGGAAACTGTCCGGGGCCTGCTGGACCTGGCTGTCGGGCAGCCACACTGATTCTGTCCCTCTCTTGATGAATCATTTTTGCTTGACCAGAGCCTCATTGTCTTTTACTAAATTAAATTGCGCCCAGGTGGATTAAAATTCCAAAAGTAGCTTGTGTGGGAGTTGGGGAGAGAGTGGTGTGCAGGGCAGCGGGGTTTCCAGGCACCTCCTGTCCTTTTCCAGCCCCAGCCGGGAGGTGGAAGCCAGGCCTCCTGGGCTGGGATTCCCCGGAGGAGGGCTGAGTGGCAGTTTGGAAACCTGGGGGGAACCCAGAGGTGTCCAGGGTGACAAAATGTGATCTGTGGACCATGAGACACTGCAGAGCCCGCTGGGAGCCCACGTGCTGTGGCCTCTGCTGACCGGTGCACTGCCTCTGGGCCTCTACGCCGTCTGTCCCCTCCCCTGGCCTGGCCTGCTGGGAAGGATGCGGACAGGGCATGAAGCAGCCCACTTTCCTGACCAGATGCTGCCACCTGGCCGGTGACCTCATCTGAGATCAAGGGCCTCAGCACCCTGCTCTGCACAGCTGGGGGCAGTCTGCCGGCAGGGCTGCGGGTCTCGTGCCCCTGTGCT